ACTTATCCTAATTGGCTCATCATGCCCTGTAGCAGAGTTTAACATTTGTCCTGCAGAAGTCTTATACTTCCATAACTTGAATAGCAGGAAATTGTTCATCAGCATTTTAAAATGCTCGGTGACTTCTCATGTGAGAATTAGTAGTGCTTATGGCAGCCAAATCAAGCCACAAGGTTGGCAGTGTTTAGAGACAGCCTTTTGTGCTGCCGTGAACTTCAGTTATAGCCCTCTATATTCTACATTCCAGTACATTCTTTTCCCTTTGTAGAGGCATCCAGGGTATTGAGAACACTAACTATGCAAAAATACTCATCAGTTTTTAGCCTGCCTTTTCTTATAGGCTGCAGGCATATACACACACACACACACACACACACACACACACACACATATATATGTGTATATATATGGTTGTTTTTTTTTTTTTTTTAATTCTTTCAATGGATGTGTTGCATTAGTTCTCAGTACAGAGCCTTGATAAGACACAAATTTCTTGGGTTTCACTGCTCTGAGCAGTGAAACAATTTGTTTTCACTGTTCTGAGCAGAGGAAAAATTGAAAGAGCAAAGAGCTTTGAGTAGCATGACACGCATACTACTTCATTGGAAAGTGTAACTGGTGTCTGAAATCCTGCTCTAGGCCAGTGAGCTGGCTGGTAAGTGTCTGCAAGGCATATCACCTCTGTCAGTTGCAATGAGCTGTGGAAAGACACCACACCATTTCTGGCTCCTGGCAGAATTTCACTTGGTGACAAATCCTGAATGTAGTCTTTCCAGTGCCCTGTTAGTTCTGCTGCAGAAAACCAGCTGGCATTCTCTGAATTTAGCTAAACCAAGGGAATTATGCATTGCTCAGAGCACTGGCAGAGAAGGAAATAATATCGTTAGCCTGTTCCGAGATTTAAAGGCCAAAACTGTTTTTTAAGTATGGAACTTTTTTATATTCAGTGCCTCATAAAATGATTTGTCAGATGGCATAAAAGTCTTCTGCTTGTTCCCCTTTTCTCCATAGGGCTCAGTTTGCTAGGGTGGTGACATTGCTTTAGTTTAACTGTCAGAACTTCAAGTTAGAGGGTCATTTTCTTCTCCAGCAAGTCTTGGCGTGGCAATGCCCAAAACGTAGAATGAAAATCCTTGTTATTTGGCTGGAATATGGCTGGAAGGGCTTCCTTTTGTGTATCAAGCAATACTGTAGATTTTACTTCTTTTCTCACTACTGCCAGTTTGTCTGCTGTCGGTGCTAGTTCCATCCTGCTGCAGGTATAAGCCTTTTTTTGCCTGAACTTGTGTTGCTTTTTGGAAAACTCCTCTTTTCTTAAGTTACCAAAGGTGTGTCTTATACTGAAATCTGATTATGTTTGGAAGCTAAAAGTGCAGATTTGAAACAAAATTATTGAGGGTAATTTGGGAGCAATGGGGGGCAAGGGAAGAACACCAAAAGGGGGGGGGAGAAGGGCATTTTCCACTAATATTTGTAGACTAAGATTAGAGTGCATGATGCCAGTGTGCTTCATTACTGCTGGGCTCTTCTGGTAGAACTTGAAAGGAAGCACTGTGGTTGGCAAATGCAGCAAATCTTGTCTACAAGGAGTACTTACTTTCAAAGCCCAAATAGAGAAAGCTTGGTTTATGCCAGTGGTTTGAAGGATCGTATTCCTTCCAAAAGATTTCATGGCTTAAGATCTATTTGCAAAGCTTTTCTAATAATCCTCTAAAGTGCTTAGCCTTAGTAACATGGTTAAATTCTTAGCTCCAACTTTCAATGGAAAAGGATTTGTCTTCAACATGTCTGAAATTGGCCTCTGTCTTTATATTTACTCCTGTACAACAAGTGGATGAATAGAAGCTTCTGACATTCTATGTACTAATTGCATTTCTTGTCTGAATGGCCACTTTTAGTAGCGCTACTTTTTTTTTCAGTTTCTTTGTGTAACTATTTTTACATGCTTCATGGTCTAAGGGCTGATGACCAAATGAATTGGTAGTTTTTGAGGTGTGTAATAATCAAAGTGATAGTGAGATTGTACTATAGGCACTTCGTGTTTCATATACTGTGTTGTAACCCTTTAAAATGCTTTTTGGTCACAGAAATGGAAAATCTTTTGGTTCTCAGAGGTATCTCATAGATCGTTCTTTGTTTTGTTTTGGATTGTGGCAGTTAATACAGAAACCACCATGATAAATGTTTCAGTTTAGTGTAGGAGATGTTTCTCAATGCTGAATTTCAACATGCATTATTTTACTCAATTCATTTAATACAGTTAAGTCTGTTTAGGAGGCAGCGCAGGACTTTACTGTGTTAACTGTTGTATGCAATATGCTAAACAAAGCATGAAAAAATCAAACAAATGCAAATATTTTCTCGTTTTCTGTTTATTCTGAAAATATCTGTATGTAAAACTGCTAAATGGGATGCAGGTATGAATGTCTTCAGATAGGGACCACTTTTGGGGGGTATTCATGATGTGTATTTGCCTTCCTATTTGCCTATGGATAATGAAAAAGGGAATGAATTATGTAATCAGCTGGGCTCTTTGTCTTGAAACCAGTATAAAATTACTTCTTTCAGAGCCTTGGTAGCTTGCATAGATTTTTAAGGTGTCACATAATGTAATGTCAAAACTAGTGTTAAGAACATGAGAACCAGTCTGAAAACTCAAGCTTTGGTTAGTCTTATCAGCTACTACCAAGCTACTTGTATGTTATATTACTTAAACATTTGTGGGTTTGCAGGATTGAGGAAGTAGTACAAAACTGAAGTTATTTTTCCAAATGGCTATCAGCAGGGAAGGTGCTAAATTTTAAGTATTCCATTGAAGTCTGTAGGTTTGTTCACTGAATGGCATAGTTAGGAAGACCCTGATCTCAATCCCTGGATGGGACCAAATTGTTTTCTGTTGTAATATGTTCACAGACTCATAAAATAGTTGAGGTTGACAGGGACCTCTAGAGGTCATCTAGTCCAACACCCTTGCTCAAGCAGGGCTGTCAAGAGCAGGTTGCCCAGGACCATGCCCAGGGGGCTTTTGAGTACATCTGAAGGTGGAGTCTCTACAACCTCTTTGGGCAATCTGTGCCAGTGCTCAGTCACCCTCACAGTTAAAAAGTGTTTCCTGATGTTGAGAGAGATCTTCCTGCATTTCATTTTGTGTCCATTGCCTCTGTTCCTGTCACTGGGCACCACTGTGAAGAGCCCGGCTTTGTCTTTTTTGCACCCTCTCTTAAGGTATTTATAGACATTAATAAGATCTCACCCAAGCCTTCTCTTCTCTGAACTAAATAGTCCCAGCTCTTTCAGCTTTTCCTCATAGGAGAGATGCCCCAGTCCCTTAATCATCTTCATGACCATTTCTTGGGACTCTCTCCAATATGTCCATGTGCTGAGGAGCCCAAAACTGCACAAAACACTCCAGGTGTGGTCTCATCAGTGCTGAGCAGAGGGGAAGAATTGCCTTCCTCATCCTGCTGGCAATGGTTTTCCTAATGCAGCCCAGGATAACATTAGCCTTCTTTGTGGCTTGTTGCTGGCTTGTGTAGATTCTTGCAGTACATCCCATGATATGTCTTACCTTTTGTTTTGGAACATTTAGTTACTATATCTTACTACCTTTTCCACTGAAAGGATAATGATTTTTTTTCTACTTTACTGTTTGTTACAGGTAGGCTAGGTGCTTCATAGATAATATTGTTAAAATATTTTACCACCATTCCAAAAGTATGTTAAGTAACAGTGCTCCTTATGTAAGTAATTGTATTATGTGTTATATTTAGTCAAAGTATTCACAAAGGAAATCACTAATTAAGCTATTAATAGAACCTTTTTAAAGGAATGGTATGTGCTGTTTTTTTATAGAAAATGAATGTAGGGTGATTATTCTTGCCTTTTTGTGGAAAGATGCAACATATGTTCTTTTAGAGATTTGTTGTTTTGTTTCAGCATTTAAGTGAACCACCACAATTAGTTTCTTAGTTGAGGAATCTCAAAATCTTTTAAACTTTTTTTATGCAGTGATTCTTAGATTGGGTTGCTTGGATTTGCAAGCATGGTGGTCATTAGGCGGGTTTGGATTTGTTTGTTGCTTCGACTCAATTCTATGCAGTTAATAGAAAGTTTTCAGTAAGAAGGGAGATAAGGAAACTCAATTCTGTTAGTTCTGTTATCTAGAATTAAACCATTACAGGATTAAAAACAATATTAGAAATTGGTCGTTAATGTCAGCAGCCCTGAAACAGATAAGTACCTTTATAGCATTGGTCTAATATTCTGTAAAGACTTTCAGCGAAGGAGGTATATATGATCTAGCAATGAGTTATGCCTATTTATTTTTTCTGAAGATTTTTCTCACGTTGGTACTTAATCCTGTTGATATCTTTCATTTTTACTGCATCAGTGGTAGAATGAATTTGTCTCTATCATTGAGAACAGCCGCCTCTGTGTTTGAAAGCTGTTGTCATGTTGTCACATCCTTCTTCCACCTCCCAATCCTATGACCAGTTCTTTCCATTGGTCATATCTTCTAGATCTCTTATCTTTCTGGTCCCAAATAGGATTCTTCATCAGCTTGTTATTCTTTGAAAATTCATGTTGGTGACTGTTCATCTATTACAGGTCTATGGTGAATATGAAAATATTTCTTCAGAAAATAGGACCACATTACAGTATTTGATATTGGTTATATGTAGTAGATACTATGTACACATGTGTATTAGGGTGTGCATGTGTGTATTTATGTTTGTGTGGAAGGGTGGGTAAGAAGATGGTGAGTTGTCTTTATAACTGTTTAAAAAAACAGTGGCTAAAAATTATTTAGAATGGAAAAAGTTTTGCTTAAGAAAATCCTGGAAACTGGTTATTAACCCTCTACTGGTCAGAATCTGTAGTGATCAAGTTTGTTTCTTTTCTTTTTCTCCCTGCCCTCCTCTGACCTCCTCCCTCCTCCACTCTCCCCCCACCCCGTCTCTCCCCCACTCCCTCCCTTCCCTTTCCTGTGTAATTCACAGCTTTTGGAAATTAACTGGACTGGATTGACCAATCTTCTGGATGTTCCAGGGCTGAAGTGAGTATATGTAAAGTCGTGTTTGATATTCCTCCATCCTAATAAAACCCAGAAAATCTGAAGACCATCGGCTAAATAATAATAAATAATAACTTTTTATTTAAGGTTTGGGTGTTCGTTTATCTGCCACCTCCTAGTACAGTGGAAAGACAAAGAGCCTTGTTTTTCATATCAGTGGGTTCATACCAACTTGGCTTATGGTTTTGTATGCCAGTACATCTCTAGTTGCTTGTGTAAAGGTAGTTAGAAATACCTTAAGACAGTAATCAAATTAAATAAACTTTGTAATCTCTTCAAGTACTTACTTTTAAAGCTTTCTGTTTATTATGTAAAGATCAAAGGGAGTAGCAAAAATACTGACCAAATATAGCTAGGAAAGATGCTTGGCTTATTCAGAGCTTTTCAAAATTGTGCATGATAAAACCCCAAGGTTAATAAAGCACAAGTAGCGGTGAAAACCAAGCTACTTTGAATCATTGCAATCCTGATAAGGTTAAATCCATAAATATAGTCATAATTATCTAGTTGTAATAGTTACACAGGGGAGGTTTAATATTGAGACAATGGCTAGGGGCATGATGGTGGATCTGATACACACTTGGATTTTATGGCTAGTCCTTTTATTGGATCCCATACTCTCAAGAGTTGGCTGACTCCAGAATTATACTTTATTGTTAAAAAAAAAAAAGAAAAAGTTTGAATTTAGGCATTAAATTAATCCTCTGGTGCTCAACTGCGTGACTGAAATGGTTTTTGCTTTACTTAGACAGGTGAAGCTGGAATCCCAGTTGAACAGTTTGAAATTAGAACTTGCATTAAGTAGGTTAATGGCTGCAAGAATTGCTTATGTTTTGAGTCTGCTTAAAACTGCCTCTGAGAAAAGAGGTTTGCTTGATGAGTGAGAAAATGGCTTCCAAAATACAGCTCCTAAGTAGTAATTTGCTCTTTTGACATAATGCTAATAAATTTATGTTTAGTACTTAAGCTTATTAGGCTCCTGAGATTAATATCATGCTGCATATTTGCCTGACTGCAAACACAAAACCTCAGATCTAAACAAGCTCTTTCTAAGTACCTTAAGTTTATGGTTTCCAGAGCAACCAAGCTTGGCCACATATGCATAAAATGGTGCCATCTAGATGTGGTATGGTTTCTATAGTAACTGTAACTGTGGTGACTCATGCTCTGCCTTGCCAAGAGGCATCTTCAGTGATGTATTTGTTTTTCTTATCTGCATAGATAGATTGTATGTTTTGATATGACAGTTTGACATACTGTAGTTGTTATAAACAATGATGAACAAGAGATTGCTGCTACCACAGGTACCTTTCTCGTCCTGTGACTGTGGGCTGCACACTAAACTACTTGTTCATACTCTATTTGCGAATGTCTTCTCCTAAATGAATTTCTGCATTTGCTGCTAGCAGCTTCCCTGTCAGCAACTTCCATTGCTTTTCATATATGACTCCACAGGAGAAGGACACAAAAGCAATTAATATTCCATCATCAGTATACCTTACAGAGGAGTGGAATTAAAATCTTGATATGAGGAGGAGCCAGGCTGTGAGAATACTCAAGTACTGTCAGGAGGGGATGTGGATGATGGGAAGATGAATTATGTTATGGTTACTTGAGATGTAGTAAAAATTCTCTATGCAGTGAGAGATGTGCTGTCTCTGCAGTATGAATAAAAACAACACGGGAAAAAAACATAGCTGCTTATTCTGTCACTAAAACTTAAGGAAAGCTAGATAGAGAGCAATGCAAAAGAGTTGGTAACTGCCAATTACTTTTCTGCAACAAAATTGAGCTTTTGAAGACACTTAGTATAATATATGAAGTGTTTCACACCTCATTTTTGTGAACTGAAAAAATAATTTGTACTTAGAATCAGTGGCAAAGTTTTACAGTCTTAAGCTGTTTATGATGATGCATCAACACAAAAGTTTAAATTGATACATCTTTCTCTGTTGCCTGTAGGTTATTTCATAATGTATGTGATCTTAACTAAATACTAGAAAACAGCATGACAACCTTTCTTTCAAGGCAGGTCTGGTACCATTGCCTCTCTTGCACTGCTCATTTGCTTTCTCTGACCTAGGCCAAGTAGTTTTCTGCATTAATCGTTTGTCCTTAAGGCATGCTCTTTATTGAGCATCAGTTCTTATTACCATCACCTTAGCCTTTTGAGTTTTTTTTTTCTTTTTAATGTTAAGACTGGTTGAGTTATTAATCTTAAATTTTGAAGTCAACTCTATACCAAAATAATGGGTTCTATTTTCTTAGCTCATTTTAGAGAAAATTTAGCGTGCATATATTGAAAACTTGATATTTATCAAAAGGGAACTGAAAAAGTCTGAGGAGCAACATGTGCTGCAGTGATGACTAAAGGAAGCTGCTGATTTTCAAATAACATAATTATCATCTTGTAGTTGTCTCAAGAATTACTAAACTAAATTTGTTGGGTTCAGTGTTCACATAGAATGAAAATATTTGTAAATATGATTGGGTAAGCTCTGCAAAAGAAAGGGGAGTGAAGACTTCTTTAGTTCAGAGCTGAATTCACTCGAAGCAGAGAGGAGACTTTTCTTCTGAACAGTATCTTAACATTGTCCACTCCCAATTGGAGATTCACTCTTAGAAAAGCTTCACAAGGTGATTATACACAAGTGCTTCATATGAAAATGTTTTAAGTAATCAAACTTTATCTGCATCTTAATTTCATAAAGACTATCAAAGGAGAATCATAAAGTGTATTTATGAGGATAAAACATTGATCCCTGAAGCAGCTCCACCAGCTATAGCAAGACTGCATCTGCAGTTCAGAGTATCTCAAGTATTTTTATAATTTTCTTTCTGAACCTTTGTGCATACCCCTAAAATCTGCCTGGGTACTTGTCTTCCATGGCAAATTGTACTGCTCCTGTTCTGCCTTTTTGCCAGTGTAGGCAATGTGTGTAACCAGTGGTGTTGGTCTGACAACACACTGATTTGTTGTCAGTTCAGACCCAAACTGGGTGAACTTGTACTTAAGGAAATCTTCTTATTTTCTGTATTTGTGAAGTGGTACGGGACTGGGTTTTTTTAAATGATTCATTACCAATGTGATTGTACTGCCACTCCCTTTTTACCAGAACAAAACCTGTTTTGCTTCCCCAGGCTATATTTTACTGGGCCATGACTATGACTTCTTTCTGTTTCTGTTTTAAATGACAGTCCGCCCAGCTGAAGAGGACAACTCGTTTCATAACAATATAGGAATGCTTTGCCAAACTTTCAGGGACAGTTAAATCATTATTGAAATACAAAAGCAGATTAACAGTTAACATCTGCTTGGTTATATGCAATTCAGGCAAGAAAACTTACGCAACAGCCTTTTACCCTGGATCGTTTTAAAAGGCAGGAGTGAGGGGGCAACTTGTGTGTGGCAAGGAAATGAGTTATATTAATCTCTGTGGTTTCCGCTATTCGGTGTCAGCTGCTTCCACCTGGTGGTTATTTTGGCAAGAATCCTTTATTTTAAAAAAAGTGTTTAAAAACCAGATGTGTCTTCTGTCCTCCCCGAAAGCAAGTATTTTCTCCTTTTAGGTTGTTAAGCATCAAAAGGAGTATACGAGTGTGACAAAATGTGTTTAATTCTCATGAAGTAACTGAGGATTATTTTCTCCAACAGTGGTTTGTCAGATACAATAATACTAGATATAATATCCAACTACCTGGTCCTTCCAAATAGAATTACAGTCCCCCTTGTCAGTGAAGTGCAGATTGCTCAGTTGCGGTTTCCTATGCCAAAGGTAAGCATGTTTCTGGTAATAATCTGGCTTCTACTTTTTTTTTTTCTGTAGTAGTAACTGTTAAAGATATGCACATCCATGTGAATTTCTAAATACAGTTATTGCAATAATACCAGATATTGTAAATCCAGTCACTTAAAATAATTCATTTAATTTATTAATAATTTCGATGGTGTTAATGTTTCATAATAACACCAGGATTTTTTTCTGTTTGTTTTAGTAGAATCTTAAACGTATTACTGAACTGTGTAGTCCAAAAATTAAGCAGCATATGTTTTATATTAACACTGCAACTTATTGTTACTGCTCTTCACTTGAAAGTTGTTACTATTTATTGCTACTCACTTCCAGTAACATGGCATTTCTTGATATAACTGGCATGTTTCTGATTTTCGATGACAGTTTTTCTTTTCAGGAGTCTCTTGAGTGCTAGGTTTACTGTATATATGGATCATGATTGATATCCCTCCATTTACAGTGTCTCCAAACTAAGTTTCATGTTAGCAAAATTACAATGGTAATTATAAAACACATATTACATAAATTGTGATGACATGGAAGCTTTCAGATTACTGCATAAACTCATCTTTTTCAGGGTGTTTTAAGGATACACTTTATTGAAGCTCAGGACCTGGAAGGGAAAGATACTTACCTAAAAGGGATTGTCAAAGGGAAGTCAGATCCTTACGGAATCATCCGTGTGGGTAACCAGATTTTCCAAAGCAAGGTCATCAAAGAAAATCTCAATCCAAAATGGAATGAAGTTTATGAGGTATAACCAAGAAAAATACCTTGTGCATTTAGTAAAGTTGTCTTCCAAAGTTTCTTTTGTTAAACAAGATATTCTGGGGACTCTCTTGAGGAGCTTCCTGATGTCTCCCTCTAAAAGCCCAAAGTTCTGTAACAAAACAGAAATTCTCCATTGATGCTTTTACATACACATATATGTATATTACATACATACATATATATTTTTTTATTCCCTCTAGACTAAGCATCAGTAATTCTGAAAAGCTGTCTAGTCTCTTAAAGCCAACATTAGCAAATAGCATCTGAATAGCTTTTTTACTTGCTCTACTGATGAAATTGCATTTTTTTAAGCATTTGCTTATTGATACATTTTAATACACAAAGGCACTGCAGTTCAACGTTTTACTGTTACTGTGCCATTAAACAAAGCTAGTTAGTTTTACCACTGACAAGGCCATCTTACTGTACTTGCAGGCCTTAGTATATGAACATCCAGGACAGGAGCTAGAGATTGAGCTCTTCGATGAAGATCCAGATAAAGATGACTTCCTGGGAAGGTAAATGTTCTGGAGACTATGTTCATAGGTATTGAAAACAGATATACTTTGACATAAGACTTTGTTTGTTTGTTTCTTTGCTTTGTTGTTTTTTTGGGTTTTTTTTTTTTTTTAATTGCAGTTGTAGTTCTGCTATATTACTGCATTTATAGATAAATTATCTTTTCAAAATTATGGTAGTAGGTAATTCTCTTCTTAATATATTTAAATATGTGAATATAAAAATGTGCTTTTGTGTGTATCTGCACATCTTTATGTTTACATTTATTTTCTAAATAGCGAAGGTAAGTATTGTAGGTACCCAGGAATAAAAAGAGTTTGTTTTTAGGAATTGTAGCCTATGTGCTTTAATAATTGTAAGCTAGCACTAAGTTTTAATTATTTTTTCAGGCAAAGTTAATACAGTTTTATCTTTTTCATCTTCATAGTTTTTCAAATGCCTGTCTAAAAGTTTATTTTTCTCTAAGAGCTGATCTTAACTATTTGATTGGAGAAATGATTTTGCTGTAATGCTTTTGCAAACATTACTCACTCTTAGACTCCATAGGCCTGCCTTTAGTGTTTACCCATAAACATTTCCGGGTTGTAGTCAGCTTCTTTCTCCAGTAATTTGTCACCTTTATTTCTTGCAGAGTTTTGGAGCTTCCCATTGTTGCTTTCCATACAGAGTAGAACTCTCTTATCTTTCCAGCTCCTTCTCTCTTAACAGGAGCAACAGTACCTACTTCTCTTCTCATTAAAATAAAGAAGTAGGTAGTACAAAGGCTTCTTTTCTTTGCACATCCCTAATCTTACACTGAAGTGGTGGTGGGGGGAAAGTAGTATAATGTACGTCAGTAATAGTAAAATAAAAAGCCATGACAGATGCTCATGCACTGGCATGCAGTTGTCTGTGCTCTTAAATTTTTAGCAGATTCTCTGGTACATTTTTAGCTTGTGTGAACTAGCACTCTGCCAGACAATGCCAAAGCATGAATTCGGTCATAGTGTATGTCCAGGGGCTATTTCCAGTGGGTAGTTTGGATATGTTCACTGTTTTGAGACTTTGGTCATACGTATGTGAGCCATATTATGTTAGCTGCCCTCATAGCTACAAGATGGACTCTAGTATAGGCATATTTTTTGTTATCCTGCACTCATCTTCGTTCAGCCATTTCATTCCCTATTTCTTTCTTAAGGGCTAAAAGAACAGTATTCTGCTCTTTTGATCTCAGTGGAAGCCTGGATACTCAGCAAGCACAGGGTGGGATTTGAGTTCTGCACTGGATTTTTAGCTTGACTAAAATACTGATTTTTTTTGTTTTCTTTTTTTGTTTTCTTTTTTTTTTTTTCCCCCCTAGTTTGATGATAGATTTAATTGAAGTTGAAAAGGAGCGTCTTCTAGATGAGGTAAGTGTTCAGTAAGTATTGGTTTAAAAAAAATTCATGTTATGTATTTATTCTTTTATTATTATTTTCCTCCTGGGGATGTGCATGAATAAGCTTAATGCTGTAGGACTAGATTCCCTGATGATCAGCACAGAGGTTTAAGGGATATCTGAACTGGTGAAATCTGAAGAATAACATTGCTCTTCTGTCTTGAGGTTTTAAGATTGCTAGTATGTAAACGCAAAAAGCAGTTATTTAGATATTTGGTAAGAACTTTTCCTTGCAGGAGAATAGTTAATTGCCTGGTTTAACAATTATTAGACTTAGCAGACTAATTTTTGTCATATATGTAGGAGCGATTATATAATAATGTTTTGCAGAGTTTCTATGTCTAGAACATCTTTATAGAACTTAAAGAATCCTCTTTATTTTAAAAATGCTTTTTACTACATAATACAGAGGTGTTGCTGGTTGTTTTTTTAATTCAGTGTTGTACTATTTAGTGTGAAATAGGATATTTTAGACAATGAATCAGATCTTTTCAGGTTATATAGACTTAAGCTCTACAAGATTTCTAGTAGATCTTAGTATTTTGAAATGTCCTGAAGAGCCAATTACAGTAATGTAATTGTTCAGTGTCAGATTATGTCACATTACTTTGCTTAACTTTTAGTGGTTTACTTTGGATGAAGTGTCAAGAGGAAAATTGCATTTGAAACTGGAATGGCTCACATTGATGCCAACTGCTGAAAACCTAGACAAGGTATTAAAGGAGCACGTTACTTTTATCCTAATCTTAATTTACGTGGGGTGGTTTTTCTTGCAGTTTCTTTTTTGTGTGTGTGTTTAAGTAGGTAAGTAATTTAATTCACTAGCTGTTGTGCATTTGGATAAACCTGTAACTTTCCTCCAAGCTGTTTGTTTTTAGAGATCTCATACCAGTCATAACTGTCATTGTACTCTTGTGGCATAGGATTTTAAAATGCTTTTGTCTTTTTCACTTAACGTTCATGGTTTGGCAGTATCAGCTATCATTTCACTAGCCTGGGATATAAAGCTGGATGTGATACTATATTCTGTTCAGTCTGAAAGAAAAAAAATTAGGAAATAGGGTGGAAACTTCCAGAAGAATGTGTTTGAAATAGCTATGTAAGTTCTGAAAACTTACTACTTGTGCTTCATAGTGTGTATTTATGAATGCTTGTGTTTTGGGAGGTGTTTTTAAAATATTTTTCAGGAATGGGACACAATAGTGTTATTTGTTTCTCAGAAAGGCTTACAGTATGTTTTTTGTTTAGGTGCTAACAAGCATTAGAGCTGATAGAGACCATGCCAATGATGGTCTTTCTTCTGCATTGCTTATTCTCTATTTGGACTCAGCAAGAAACCTGCCCGTAAGTTATATTCTAATGGATACCCTCTTGTCATGGGTATCTCTTGCGTTCTTCCAGCATGTCTGGCTTGGTAGTATGGCACACTGCTTTACTAACACACATTATGCCATGTTTTCTATACTTTCTCTTGTTTCAAAACGTGTAATGTAAGGTCCACATTTCTAGTAGTATAGTATTATAGATATATATTTAATAAAACATGACTCCTCAATCAGTGTGGGTTTTTTCTTTAAAGAATGCTCCTTTCCTGGACTTGAAAGGCTGCATATTTTTATTACACAATGTTTTCCATAAGTAGTATGGGATTAGCAGGAGGAATTTTAAGGAACTAACTGGGAAACGGCCCACTTTCTTGAGTTCAGGTAAACTTGCTTGCTTTGGTTTAGGTTATCTGTGGTAGATTTGAAGGTACTGAAGTTCTCATCACAAAATTAATACTCTGCAGTTGAAATTTCTGTCAGGTTATCATTTGGGATATTGTTTACTTGCTTGTGCAAAACATAAAATCAAAAAGATTAATGGTTCTGTCATAATATGCATTATACTGTAGGACTGTGAAATAGTTTGTCTGTGACAAGCAAGCGCTGCTGTTGTGTAGTTTACTTCAGGTTAGTAAAGTACGGTATCTGGTTGTTAATGACAGCAGTAATAAGGAAACCCTACCGTAAATAAATATGTCAAGCATAACAGTGCTGGTTTTTTCAGCATTGCTATTAGTCGAGAAATTCTGGAAGGCATGACTAAAATACCAATCAGAGGTTAAAGTTTTTAAGCCTCAGGTTTTTTTGCATGCATTTTGCAACTTTGTCCATTCATCTTAAATTTAAGTTAAAATGCTGCATAAAAACAGAGGGGTAACGAATAAAACCTTAGTAGCCTAAACACTTGACATCACTAACATGATTTCATGTTTCTTCTAGGGTGTATAGAGCAGTGTTTGGAAGTAGTATTTATAGGTTATTATTCCAGATGAGCTACATCTTTTTTAGCTTTTATAGAGTCCTGCATTATCTTTTTAACCTGACTGTATTGAATTCAGGGAAACTTTGTAATTTAGCAAAAAAAGCAGAATTACTCTAGTACAACAACGTAAACAGAAATAGAATAGAAATATGCTGTACTTAACATCAGTTTTGGAACACTGTAATACACAGGAAAAGTCCATCTGCTGTTTTGTGCACTAGATTAAATTGAACCCATTTCTTGTATTTTCTTTTTTGACTACTGGATTTTACTCAAACTGTTACAAGTTTAATATATTTGTTAAAATACACTAAACAGTTAAAAAGAATAAAGTTCTTTCATTCACAGTTTCAGGGTTTTTTTCCACATATCTGCTAGTCTATATTAGATTAGTTTCTTCAGCAAATACTCAGAGGCTTAGTCATAATTTTAGGGTTTTCCCTTCCTGTTTTAAACAAACACTCTGTAACATTGCCTCCCTCCTTCAGAAAGGTTAGGCTACAAGTCTGGAGTTCTACCTATTTTTGGGGACAATTTCAGTGTCTTAATCAGTGATTCTCATCAGTAGGTCTCTAAACTCTAGGGCACAGAAAAGGGAAGATCCTTGCACAAAGCTGACCAGTTAGGAGATTTAGGATCAGAATCCCAAATTTCTTAGCACTGTGTATTTTCTGTCTACAGTTGAGAAAAAGGATGGTCATAGTTTGGGGCCTGTTTAATTCCTTGTTTTTTCCCTTGCTGTACCAGCCCAGAAGAGCAGTTGCTGCAAATTACCCAGTTTTTAACTTAAAGTAATTTTCTTTCCAGAAATGTGTTATAAAGAATATGATAAAAAGTAACACTGAACCCTTGAAAATTCTATTTACAAGTTGACAACAATAAAATAACACAATAGTTAAATTCAAGTTGTACAAAACCAGATATAAAAAGGCTTCGTAGTTAGGTGGTGGTGGAGGGGGGAGTATCATGAGAAGACTTTTTTATGCTGGAGAACTGAAAAGATTCCTATAGATTCTAGAGAGACAATGTTTAGATAATGTCATGGACCTGGTAGACATACTGCAGTGAACTATAGCGAATGCAGCTTTTTAATGTCCATTTGATTCTAATATGGAACAACATTTACATGACTAAACATGGAAGTCTTTTGGCTTCTCATGTTGCATTCATATTTCCTGATAGGGGTTGTGTAGCGTAATAGCAAAATTAATTGCTCTTCTGGATTGCTTATATTTATGGGGAACAAAAAGTTCAAAGAGAATTGAGAGAATTAATAGCTTTGAAAACTTATCTGCAACTTTAATGTTACAGCTGAAATATTTTATAGATAAATAAGAGCTTTTTATTACCTTCCAGAATGGATTTCCTAGGTGAATGCTAACTGGTACATTTTAGAGCTTGTCATCAGCCTTGTTTTCTTTGAGTTATAGTGGGTAATCCACAGCACAGACATTTCTGTTACATAGATGCATCATAGTTGTGGGTTTTGGAGACACTGGGATGATTTACCTGAAGTTGATTTATGTTTCAAGGGAAATAGAAACAGTGTAGAAGGCTGGTCTCTAAATTTACCTACTTGGATCTGCCATATAAATCTGCACTACCATGAGTAAGGTTGGAAAGTGGGTTAATATATTTGAATAATAATAAAAAATAAAAATAAAAAAAAACCTTTTCATCATGCTGCATTACAGAAAGTCATTTAACAGATGAAACTATTTGTAATGACGAATATTTACTTACTTTTTGTTATTTGCTGTTTTCTCTGGAATCTTTTGACTGTTTTCCTTAACTTTTTTGTGTAGTAAAGCTGCTTATGCATTCATTCTGCCACAATCCCATCACTCTGCTTTCTCCTTCCATTTCCATCTTCCTAAGAGTATCTACGAGGGAAACTTTGGGTGTGGATACTTAAAAGAGAGGAGAGCATCGGGACTAGTCTTTTGTGAAAACACTACCTCACTCTATAGAGCACTATTTGTGAGTTCTCTGGTATTATTTGTATTGTACCTTTTATCTGCCAGAGTGTGGATTAGTGCTACTAAAGCCACTCACTCTAGTGGAATGAGAGCATGCAATTTGTTTTGCTGCATGGTTTCAACAAGTGTGCATTGTTTTTGTGCTATTTTTATTGCATTTTAAAGGCTACTTAAATTTCATTGATCAGCATATCATTGGGTAAGTAATTAACTTTTTATGATAAAAACCCAAGATAAGTTTGTTCAAAAGCTGATTCATTGAGAAGTAAAATGCATACTGTACTTGCACACTGTGTGCTGGTGAATTGTTGGCTTTTATTGCAAAGAAATTAAATATTACAACCAACATCCCTATAGTTTCTTTAAAAGGTGATGTACTCAATGTTTGTAAGAACTTGCAACCTCTCCACACTGGTTCAAGTATTGCTTTAAAAATGGGTGTAGTTCTTTGTGCTCCCCAAACTATAAATTCCCTTGTAAATTCTATTTCACTCCATGATGTTCCTTGTTTTGCAAATTTCCAAGCTCCTTTTCTTTTTTTCAAATTAGGCTCTAGTCGGGAAACTCCAGGCTAGGAAGAACTACGAATTAATATTTTTTGCTTGAATTAATGTTACAAGATTATTAGTACCTAATGAGCCTCTGAATATCTTACACTTAATTTGTTACCACAACCTTGGTATCTGAATAAGAATCTGTTCAGAATAAGAGTTCTTTTCCCAGAGAGACAAGGGTATGCTTTTGTAGACTGTGCAGATAAATTCATTGCTGGCTGGCTACTTCTGGCTTATATTATAAACCTTGATTTAAAAACACCTCCCTCCTGCCCTTCCCACATCCCTGCAAACCCCTTTTCTGTAGGCCATTCAGTTAGTTTTTGTGCAGAAGTTCATCTCCAAGTATCAAGAAAGTTATATCCATTACCAAATCTTGTTAAAATCAAGTGAATAAGAAACTCAGTTCGTAAGCTATGGTTCAGTTATCTTGGTATTAAAACTGATAAGTAGTTGCTGTTGCTTTTAGTTACAAAAATACTAGATACATTGTAAAAATTAAAAAATCAAAATGTTTGATAATGATAGCCCTGATTAATCTTGGCGTCTTTGCATTAGAACATGTGTTCTATGTGTAACAGCATCTCTTTAGACATTGGTCAGAAGTTTCCAAATCCCTGAAGCAATCTGTGAGTCAGTGGAACAGCAACCATTTTAAGATAGCCAGTTCTGGATTTCCTTCAACAGCGCAGTTGGCTGCCTTGTTCTGCACTTGTGTGGGTGCTAGTCTTGCAGCAAGCAAGAGGATGAGATTTATGGCTGGAGGCCAGGATAGAGAACTATAGTAGATCAGAGGTAATAACAGCTTCAGCAGTCGTAAAACTGCATCATCTTTTCAGGGCATCTTTAAACACAAGGCGTTATGCAAACATTCACACCAGCAAGTTCAGATATTTAATTAACATGTAATGGGAGTTACTTGGGGTGGGGAAGTGTTAAAAAAGGGACTTGCTTTATATAGGGAGAGGAAAATCCAATGCCCTGAGTGCTTTTACTAGACAGCTTTATTGACTGCTGAGAATCTAGATTTATGACATCTGATTTAGACATTTACCCGTCTAAATCTGAATTATCTGAAGTTAAGGAATATGAATAGTGTTCTTAGAATTTCCAAAAGTAACACTAGTTTTGTGATAGGTTATCATTAGTTCATGACAATCTTCCTTTCAATTTGGTTTCTGTATAACATAAAAATTACCCATATTTTAAATCGCCTTTCACAGATCAATGACAGTCTTCTGGTTATCAATTGAGGATGCATTCACAGTTTTAGGAACTTCTAAAGCCCCATTTTAACCCCAAGAAGGCAGTGAGTTAACAGAAGTAATGAGTTGTACTCTAAAGCATATAGAATTAGGATCTGGCTTAATAACAAAACAGCTTGTTAGTTGAGGTGTAATTTATGGGTTTGTGATTAGGATTTACTGCAAATGTCACTGGCTGTTAGGGGATGCTAGCCTGAAATATGATTTATTCCACTGTGTCAGTTATCAGTATAGTTCTTGGATACCCATTCCCTTTTTCCCATAACTGCACAGACACTCAGAACCATAGCAAGACAATTTTTTCTTACCCAAGGCAAGACCTTTTCTTGGCTTTTTATATTGAATACTCCCTTTTATTCTCCTAGCCTCCTCCTACCCAACCTTTCGGCCACCATCCTCATGGACCTGCAGCTCCTTCCCTTGAAACCTAAAGTCTGGCTTAAACAGTATTTGCCCCAGCTGACGTCCTTCTTGGCCTATCCTTGCTATGATTCCAGAGGAACTGAGGCATGTTCAATATCCAGGAATCACTGGTTGCCTGCCTTTATAATTGACCACATAAGTTTGAGTTTGACTTTTAAAATTCTTTGAAATAATATTATAGATGCAAAAAAGATGTGTACTGGATATGCAGGTATAAATATGAAAAAGATGGCCAGTAAGTTGAGGACCAGTTTAGGATTCGAAACTATCTATATAAATTGCAGACACAATCTGAAAAAATGAGGTACTTTTCCATAGAGGACAGTTCCTGCACCCAAGTAAACATCGGATGGAAACAGTTGTCTGATGGACAGCCCTACAGAAATAGAACTGTAGTAGTGCTCTATCATATTGCTATGAAAGACAAACACAACACTGATAGATATGAGAGAGGAATGTAGCCTCTAAGATGTATGGACTAATGTTTCTGTTCTACTTAGCCATTACTATGGTCCTGGTTTTGGCTGCAGCAATTTAAGGAGGACAGCAGTGATGATAATGAGAAAGCCAGTAAATGTGACTAGCAGAGGAAGAGAGTTTTGCCTTAAGAAGTAAAGGTAGGAATGGAAATGATACAAGGCTGCTGTAACCAAAATGACTTTTTCATGTTGGTCAGAAAACAGGAAACAGTGCTTAAGCTCCAGCAAGGAACATACCTGTTGGGCATTAAAAAAAATTCTGATGAAAGGGTGGTTAAGCATTAGGGTTGATATGGCTTAGGGATATGGTGCAGTCTTCATCTTTGAATGTCTTTAAGTACAGTAGTAAGTCCCTAACATATCAGATAAATAGCTGCGGAAGATTCCTTAATTTTATTTTAATAAAAATAGCGATTAAAAAAAAAGTCACAAAACCAGCCAAACCTTATTTTGGGTTTTCTCCAATTTCATCACATTGTATGTTCTAAAGCTGAATGCCAGGAATCTCATAATATATATTGGCTAATGTAAATAAGAATACCTGCATAAAGGTTAAACCTCTCTTAAATTTTTGTCAATTTTGAAATTGAATTTCAGGAAGGCATTTCTTTTGGCAGAGCATTAGTAATACCAGTTCCTGTTCATAAATCAGCATGTTTAAAAAGGCCATTATACAATCTTTTTATTTCTGCATACTACAGCTTTTAAAGCAGAATTGTCCCTTGAAACAAAAGTTTGTGCTTAAAGAAAAAGCCAGCCATAAGTTTACTAACTTGAAGTCTGTTTTATTTCGAATTTGTATTTCCTGAAATTATTTCGTATGAGTTGAATGCAAATTTTCTGTAATATTTTTGTACTTTACATGTGGCACTTGAAGAACAATATTCTTAAAATGAAATTTTAAAATCTGCTTAATTAATGGAAAGTAGGCAGAGGTTTTGTCCTGCTTAATCAGTTCAAATTCCTGTTGTTAGTGTATTTGCATGTCTTCATTCAACTGAATAAATTAGTAGACCTTCATTCTAGTTAGCATGCAGCATTTGTATCGTTCATCTGCGGAAGAGGCTCAGATGACTTTGACTTTTATAATGATCTAAGTACTATTGATACTTACAGTGTTGTAATTTCTCCTATAAAAGGCCTCCTTCACACAATTCTTGATTTATCATCAGAGAAGCTTCTGTGCTGTGAAAATATACTTACCAACATTTAAAAATGGTTCATTCAGAAGGCAGGTTTTATTGTATGCTTTATGTCCAACAGACTATCTTGTAAAAAAACCTGGTAAGGGAAACGTAAGTGGACTGAAAGTGAGTATATTAGTTTTTTAAAGCAGAATACAAACATTCAGAGGGCAAGAGGGGGAAAAAAAAAGTTTCAACAGATCTTTTATTTATTTTTTTTCCCCACCCTGTTGTTGTGGTTCCTTCATTGTTCTGTTTGCAAGATTTTTGGGGTTCTTTTTTCCCCCTGCTTTGTCCTATGTTGTCATGTCATAATTAATTAACCGAGTGAAATTGCTTCATTGCATGACTTATTAACCCTTCCTGTGTTCATTCTCTCCTGACTTAAAAGCATAATCCATTAGAATTTAACCCTGATGGCTTGAAGAAGTCTGCTGTTCAGAAAGCCCTAAAGGTAAAACTAATATAGTTGTCCATTTAAGGTCACAAATTTAACTGGAAAAGCACAAATGCCTGCAACACTTCTCTGAAACAGTGGATGGAATTTCTGTTGCCAGAGATATATTTAGAGCAATTCCATTTTACTTAAATTTGGTTTGAAAAGTGGTCAAGGCATTGGTAAAATACTGTGGTCTGTGGTAATTGGAATTTTAAATCAGTTGAGTGGAGTATGGGCTGCTTTAGAAGACTGGGGTAAAAATGTAGCCATGAGAGCTAATTTGAAGTAGTAACTAAAGAACAAAGCCGACATGAAAGCTAAGACATCTTTTATATACTGAGTTGGTCAACTCTGAATGACTGAACAATAAAATCAGTCTCTGACATGTTTTGTAGTCTTGTTTCTGCAAGATCTTTCTGGAAGGCTTTACATCTTTTATATAAATACTAAATAAATTTAGCCCAGCTTTTTCATACAGAAAACGTAGAGTTGAGAGGCAAACTTGGAATGCATAAGCCAAGTTCTCAGCTGAGGGAACTTGGACAAGAGACAGTCTCTAATAGTCTGTCAACAGCAAATCTGTAAGTAGCAGGTATTAGAGATGCGTTATATGTATGTGTACATATTGCTACCTATTTAGCATGAATTGAAATTATTTATATTTACATATCAACATAAGCAACAAGGTCTTTTGGTCAACCTGTATTTTCATCGTTTTACGAAGAAAAGGGAGTTTCAGGCCCCTTTATGGACAAAAGAAAAATGAAACCTATGTCACCCATCATTTTTAAACACAATCAGTTGGAGTGTAATCTGACTTTCTGTTCCTTAAGCCTTTGTATTCTGTTGTTTTTGATGAGAGCTATCCACAGTTAGAAATCATGATAAAAAGAAATGCGGCATTCATCCAAGAAAGGAGTGCTTTCTTAAAAGCTTTTTTCCTAAAGGAAAGTATGGTTATAGGCAGCGTGTCACTTTAAAGTCAAGTAATATTAGTGGAAGTACGATGGTCCAAAGTGTAAGTTCAGATCAAAAAATATCTAAATATGCACATTCTTAATTTAAAAATATAAAATATTTGAATGACTTGGTTGTAATTGTGACCTTACATGCATTAAGTAGATTTTAACTAACTCTGTTTACATACCTGACCTGTACAATTTCCTACATGGTAGAATTCAAAGTATATTGTTAACCATGTATACTGTATTTTCAAAGCTTTTAAAACTTCATTAACACCTGCTTGAGATGATTAACTTTCATGTCTAACTTTTCTTTCTGAGTTAAATTTTTGTTAGGTTAATTTAAAATCTGTGAAAGAAACATGTAGTCGGGAATGTTCCTTTGTGTACATAATTTGTTTCTAAAATGATGTTTATTTTCACAGTCTGATGTAATGCTATACAGCTGGTGAGCAAGGCTCAGATATGGCAGGTGGTTGATTCTCTAATAAAGGGTATTTGGTAAACTGTAGAAATATACATCAGGTACATTATAGTGCATCTTCTCAAACTGAAAAGAGGAGAATATCAATGTTCTGATACTACATCCAGTTTAATAATGTTACTGCAATGTAACTAAAGCTTCCTGAGATTGTGCTTTCTCCATTATCTCCCATCTGCATGCAGTATTCATTTTGCAATTTTAACTGTGCTTCATTAGCTTTGGGGATTGTAATGCTCATTAAAGGGTAAGAATTTGCACATTCCCAATTTAATTCAAAGCAAATGGAAAGGAGTCTAAACCTCCTGCTTATTTGTACCATTTTGCTTCAGCATATTTAGGGTAATTGGGTGCCTTCATGCTGATGTATTCACCAGTTGCTAGCTAGTCTGCCCTTCAAGCCTGTTGAATAAAATGCTGAGAATGATAGATAAGCATATGGTAAAATGCATAGTTTGTAATTTTAAGATGCAAATACTTAAGTTTCAGAGGAGAAAGATTTTGCTTTATTCTGAAGGCAAAGCTTTTGCTTTTTCTCTATCAGTCAGGAAAGAAAATGAACAGCAATCCCAACCCACTTGTTTTGCTGTCAGTTGGACACAAGGCACAGGAAAGTAAGGTAAGTTCCTACTCCTTATACTTGGCTCTGTGTCTTGGCATTGGCTATGAAGCCATTGAGCATATGCACTGCATTAAGAGTTCCCAGCAGAACTGAAATTGCCAACAAGAATCCAAGGATTGAATGGGTGCTTGCTCAATTTAAACTGTCTGTGAATAGATATAGGACTTTTAACTATTTTTAGATATCCTTCCACAGTAGGTTGTGATCTGCAACTGGGATTCCTACATTAGTGTTTATATAAATAACAGTGTGGGCAAAAAATAGGCTTCAAAATACTTACCAAGATTTGAAAATTTACAGAATCAGAGAGTTAGAGAAATGCCCGGGTCAAAAAGGGCCACTGAAGATCATCTGCACAAACCTTCTGCTTAATGTAGGCAAAGTGCTGTTAGGTCTCAGGAGCTTGTAAGTTTAGCCTCTGTTATCTCTGCTGCTTTTTCTGCTTTGAGGTATGGAGCAGTTCTGTGCTTTGAAAAGGGAGTCCTCTAGCATTCCTGAGCTCCTTTGCCCTCCAAGGTAGACACTCATAGAATCCCTTCCAACAGTTCCTAGGGCAAGTTGAAATCTGCTTTTCTGAAGTCTGGGGCTTTTATTCTGCTATTTGTTTTCCTCATGCCCCTTAGGATTTTAAGCTTTGTAATCTTAAGGTCATTGTAGCTGAGGCTGCTGTTGACAGTCGTATCTGCAAACCAGCATTCCTCATGTTTTAGTAGTAGATTCAGGAGAACACCATAGTCAACACGTCCAATGACTGAGAACAACGGTAACACAACAGTGGATGTTTTCCTAGCACAAAATATTAAGTTGATTGTGCGCTACTCTGCTGCTTTCCTAGAAAGCGTGAGAGTAGTTAAATCTCTTGGTGAGAATCTGGTTCTGCAGACCTGAGACAGCCTTGAGTTGTCTGAAGAAGGTGTCATACATCTCTTGTTCTTAATCAGGGTTCTGTAAACAAACGCCTGTCATGAGGACACGGTGATCCCTCTGATTCTGACCCAAGGCATTCAACATACCTGCTGTCTTGTTCATAACTAACCTCTGTGCATTCAAACAGCTCTCTAAAATAGCAAAGGAGAAGTGATACCTAAATAGGTAGATATATGCAATAAGGGTGAGGTTTGTTCGCTTTGGGTTTGTTTGTTTTTTTTTTTTTTTAAATAAAAGTATCAGTGAGCCAAAAGGACATCTAATTTGGCTTCTTCATGCCCTGTCAAGAGTTGTCACAAAGCATAAACCAGATCTTATATGCAGTCTTAATTTTGAAACCTATTAGAGAATGGAGATAGAAATACAAGTCCTCCAAGTTCCTGGAGATAGTTTTTTTTTTCTTATGAGCACTCTTTTCCACCCCCTCTCCAGCCCTCCTTGCCTCCTCCCCCATTAATGGGTTGCTGAAAGTAGTGAGATTTGACAGTGAAATTTTCCACATGGTTACATGGAGATTAGAAAGGAAAATACTCTTCTCTAGGAGTTTTACTGAGTTAGTTCAGCCCTTATATAGAAGCATGAGATGAGAGAGAATGTGCTAGTCTGAAGATCTTGTATTTGTTCATAGACTAGTGTGAAGTAGAGTTTCTTCAGTGGGACTTTTACTTTACATGCAGCAACTTTAATGCAAAACATATTCTCTTACATGTCCTCTGTATAAATTTATATGTGATACTATATACGTCTTGAGTAGATCCCACTTGGCCTTTGTTGAAATATGTCAGGTTTCAGACATAAATTTTGCAAAGCCAAAATGAAAAATGTACTCAACTTCTGACACTCCTTTATTAGACAGAAACATTTTATAATCTGAATGCTTCGTGTTCTCTAACTTTAGATTCGATACAAGACCAATGAACCAGTATGGGAGGAAAACTTTACTTTCTTTGTACACAATCCCAAAAGACAAGATCTCGAAGTTGAGGTATGTTGTCTCACTCTCTTAAGATGCCTTTCTTTTCTAAGACATCGTAGTAGTAATGCTCAGGCATTGTAGGCTGTTATCAGATGAGACTGAATATATTGTGAACACCCTTAAAATTAAAGTGTTCTTCAAGACCAAGCTGTAAAATATCTATTTGCATTTACTACTAAAACTAAGAAAGACTATAACCAATCACTCACCAAAACGTAGTTGATGGTTGTCTTACTTAAAAAAAAATAATAGAAAAAAGTAAATTTTGATACCCGTTTCTAACTAGTAGTCTTAACTGCTAGTAGAAATTGCTGTTATGTGTGGCTAATTGGTTTCCTCTCATCCCAAGGAAGTCTTTGCTTTATCCAAATACTGCATCCTGTTACACTGCTGACATGTAACTTAGAGTGAAGTGGAAGTGATGACTCTCCTCATTACTCATCCTCTAACAATTCAGGGAATTTATTTTTGCACAGACTGTTTGGAAACCATGTAATTATTTTGATCCAGGGTCAGGTAGATGTAGGTGTGATGGTTAGTTTTCTCTCTTTTGCTGTAGAAAAGAATGAAGAAACTAGGCATTGAGTATATTTACTTCTTCAAAGTAATCTTATGATCAGGGAAATTTGGTTTAAGAACAAACTGCATTTGATAATGTTTGGATTTTTTGTTTTTAAATAAAACTGTAATTTCTTTTTCTCTGAATTCTTAAAAAGCCGATGATACAAAATGACTTAGCTTCTGTGTTTCTTCAGGTGAGGGACGAACAGCACCAGTGTTCTTTGGGGAACTTCAAACTGCCTCTAAGCCAGTTGCTAGAGAGTGAAGATTTAACTATGCATCAGCGGTTCCACCTGAGCAACTCTGGTCCAAACAGCACTATAAACATGAAGATTGCACTCAGGGTACTCTAAAATTTTCCCATTGTAAAAATCTGAGACCATATTTAAAACTACTGTGGCTTCTAGTCTTCTAGCTTTATGAAGAAGATACTGCATTCCCTTGGGTGTCACAGTGCCAAGTGTCCTTACTTGTGGCAGTGCTATCAAATACACAAAGATAACCTCTAGTTTAAATATATTCTATGTCAAAACCAGGAAAAGCTCCAAACGAAACAGTAACTAGCTATGTTAAGACTGAGTTTTCCCATGGGTTTAGGTTTGGATATCACGTTTGGAATCTGAATTCCTTCAAGTCTCTTATGCTCAGCAGGCTATAGATCAATGAAATCACCTTTGTCTTATAGATATGGAACTGACATCATGTTGGCTTAGAAAAATAAAGTTTATAGGGAAAAGAAGAATCTTTGTAGTACTAGAAAAATTCAGACCATCTTTCAAGCACATTGGAGTTATGAAGACAAACACTGTCAAACTTCTGTTAACCTCTGTTATTTGTTCTTTTCTAAAGCACTTTCTTGCTTACCTGTAATTGATAAATGAAAGTAAAGAAAATGAGTAAGAAGAACTTGTGAGGTAGGTTTAAATTTCAAAAGATAATAAGAAAAAAATTCTAGAATAGCTTTCTACATGGCCAGAACTGCAAAGTAAATAGCACTTGCAGCAGAAGTGTGTAGCATATGGGAAGGGAATAATGAGGAGAATAATTCTGAATGAATGGAGAATTTCACATTGGTTTATAGTTACTGCAGTTGCTACAAAGAAAATGAATCTGTGTTTTGCTATGCAAAAGGTTTCCTGTTGTAGAGTGAATGAGTGTAAGTATGAATATTTTTGGTCCTACTTTAGTGTCCAAGCTTCACAACTTGTCACCAACCAGTACTCTTGTAGAAACAAATCTGTTCCTGTTTTTTATACTAGAAAATAGTAACATTGTGTGTATTTTTACTGTATCTAGGTCCTTTCTCTTGAAAAACAAGCAAGATCTCCAGATCATCAACACTCAGCTCAAGTAAAAAGGCCGTCTCTTTCCAAAGATGCAAGAAAATCATCTTTTAAGCCTCAGGTTCCTGTCTCACCACCATCTGATTCAAACAAACCTGTTCCAGCTTCCCCAGTGACTGATAGTGATAAAAAGACTGATACAGCTGAAAAAAGTCAGCCTCCCAATGCCAGCCCTCAGTGGCCAACAGATCTCAGCCGAAGTTCCTCCAGTCTTCATGCCTCTAACTTCTCTTACTCTCCCAGCCACCTCTCGGTCAAAGAACCCACTCCTAGCATAGCCTCAGACATATCTCTGCCTATCGCCACACAGGAGCTACGGCAAAGGCTACGACAGCTTGAAAAGTATGGCGTTAATTACTTGGTTTTGCAATACATCTAAACTGATTTGTAAAGAATATTGTCAGTGCAGCCAGAATGCTTAGTTTGCATTTCAGTGATATTTTTCACTGTTGCAGTTTGAGCAGGGTATTTGAAAATCAGTCATAGTGATATTCTGCTTCCTCCTAATACCTCAGTTAGATTCTGCACTTGGATGTCATACTTCCATTGCACTGATCTGCAAGATAACGTCCACCTTGTTCTGAAAGATACACCGTCTAGTGCTAAAAAGAATGGGATGGCAAAAGGGAAGGATATTTTTCGATAAAACATTAACCACTTTCATGGCAATAGTTGCCTGTTTCTCCACTGAATCCTATTAGCATTAATATTAAGCCAATTAAGCTGAATATAGGTAGTCTTTTTAAATTACTTAGAGGGATAGTTGGCTATAAGGAATATTAAATGAATAGTCAGTTACTACTCAATTAATGAGGATTGCTGCAGCTGTGCGTTCCTAAATTGTCTATTTTTTTTTTACTTCCCTCAACAGGCAGCTATACTTACCAGTAAAGATAGCTGAGCAGCCATTCTGCTCTAAATAGGGGAATGGAAAACATTAATTCATGTAGCTTCTCTGTGAATCGAAATAGAAGGATTTTAGTTTTTATTTGTAAGGGATTGAACAGATTCCTCCTTTTTCTCTACCAGAGTTCATAGAATCAATACAGTAATACAGTTTGGAATGAACCTCTGGAGGTCACTCAGCTCCCTGCTCAAAACAAATCCCACTTCCGAGTTAGATCAGGTCTCTTGGACCTTGTCCAAACAAGTTTTGTGTCTCTCCAAGGATGGAGATTCTGTAAAATTTCTCAGCAATTACAGTGCTTAACAACTCCACTGTGAAAATGTTTTTCCTTGTTTCCAATTGGAATTTATCTTGCTGCAACTTGACTGTGGCCTCTTGTTATTTACTGTACACAGCCATGAGCAGTCTGACTCAGCCTTCTCTATGTCTGAAGTAGTGAAAGACTGCAATTGAATCTGCCGTTGGCTGTCTCTGCAGTTTGTACAAACCCATTTCCTTCACCATCTGCTTATGTGTTTCAGTCCCTCATTTATCTTTATGGTGGTCTTCTGTCTAGTCTTCAGTTTGTCAGTCTCTCTTCTGGCACAAAACAGAGTTAGACTTAGTTAATTATGCTAAATTTTAAAATACTACTCCATATTTAATACACAAATTTCATACTTTCTCCTCTGATAACAGTGCTAAAGTTATGGCCAAGGAGGTCCTTTATTGCAGGCCCCATGGTGCTTGATTTTTATTTTTATTTTATTTAACTAAGAAAGTACTGAACTGAAATGCTTCACTCGCTTCACTCTAGTTTTTAACATGAATTACGTGGGAATTTTAATGGAGCAATCACTTTGTAGTAGCTATTCACAAGAGAGGCACACCTCTCCCTTGCAGTTAAGATACTCTTCAGGAGGTTGAGAAATGCCAAGCATGTCACAGACAGTCCTGCGTGAAACAGAAAATACTCATAGTCAGTTTACACAAACTAAAATAAGCATTTCATAGAGATGAGGGAACTCTGCAAGTATTGGCCATTCTTTCAAACGGAAATTCTTACACATGGTGCTTGCTTTTATAATTGTATTTGTATGCATAAATAGATTCTAATCTTATTTTCAATGTGGTATGAGCTACATAAAAGTAAAATTTCTGTGTTTATACTGTGATTTGAACTTTTTGAGAAAGTAAATGGGTTTAAGTATCACTATTTTAATCCCAAAATATCTATATTTCTATGTCAGAGAATTCAGAAAAGAATGAGCTGGTCTTCTAATTGTTTCCCAGCCAGCTGTAGGCAAGTTTTCTTTGTAGTTTACACCATTATTCTTTCCAATTTCCTAGATATTGTTTTAATGTTTATTTTAGAGTAAGCAAGTTCTTTGTTGATAACAGTTTTCAAAGTACTGAAGAGCAGCTGACCTCTAACCTGACAAGAATACCTAGCTTGTTTTGGGGAGCAGAGCTGCTGGACAAGGAATTGAAGTACATGAAACTGACAAAGATATACTCACATGCTAATGTGTGCTCTCTTCTTTCAAGCTGGTCTAGTGAAAAGTTAAATGCATAATACATGATTTCTAGAAAAACTACTGCGCATTTATTTCAGTTAGGTCTTACTTTAAATATGCATTTTAAAAACTAACTGTAATGTTCTACTATTTCCTGCAGTGGAACAACTCTGGGGCAGTCTCCATTAGGACAGATTCAGCTAACAATTCGTCATAGTTCACAGAGAAACAAACTGATTGTGGTAGTGCATTCCTGCAGGTGAGCATAGAATACCAATTTTCTTTTTTTTTGCATATCTCTCTGTAAACTTTGCTGTATCTTGACTTATCTTCTTAAATTGGTTGTCTGGAAGATCTTTGTTATGTTTAAAATAAGATACTGATTGTAATTGTGTGTAAATACAAAACTGTACAGAACTATACTCAGAATCAATGAAACCTTTGTGAAGATTTTGCTGTGATTTTGTATTTATTATGTTTCTGTCAGATTTTAAATTAAAATGGCATGTAGATTTTTATCAGCAGTGTCTGAAAGCTACCTCTAAGAGACTGAATTTTTCATGGCATGACAAAAATGCATGATTTTTGGAAAGCCATATCTAAACTTACAGTTAGAATTAAGAAACACTGTATTCGCACCTCTGCTGTTTGTTCACTATTTATCTGATCTTGTACAAGTCACTGCTTGGCACTTTTTTCCCACTGCTGTTATCTGTGAGCTGTATCCTGCACATAATACTTTGTGCAGGATATCCCACAACTGATTCATGTACTAAATTAAGCAATAGTACTGTAGACACTTCTATTCAGCAATGTCTCATTTATTTTCTAAGTGTTTTTCCTTGTTTTTCACTGATCACAGAAATCTAATAGCGTTTTCAGAAGAAGGATCCGACCCATATGTACGAATGTATTTACTGCCTGATAAGAGACGATCAGGAAGAAGAAAAACCCATGTATCAAAGAAGACATTAAACCCAGTGTTTGATCAAATGTATGTTCTAAACCATGCGTAGTAGTTTTATATCATGTAATTAGAAAGCTGTCAAATTAACGTTTCTCAGCTTATCTGAATGGATGAGCTGTTGAAACTCCTAGTTGTCACCACCAGATTTGATCATACCTTCCTCTTCTGGTGTAGTAGCTCTTCCTATCCTTCTGTTCCCTATTATCACTACAGCTTTTCTTGCTCTCTTACCAGCCACTTCTCTCTTCTTTTCTGCCTTATCCTATGACAGTTAAATCCCCTTTGTGCTGGTAGCTAAGAAGCAGTGTGTACTCTTCTGGCAGACAGTCAGAACTTGAGTGCCTTTTAGCTGGCCAATGCTGTTGGCACCCCTTCCTGCCAGGAAGCATGTCAGTTCTGACTGGCTGATTGCCTGGATCATAGATGCTGCCTTCTCGGTGTGACTGGCCAGCCACTGTCCTTGCATGATCAAGTTTTTCAGTCAGTCTACTTGGAGCACTTCTCAGCAACCAGGAGAGTCAAGAAATTTCCTCATAGCTTATATGCTGGCTCATAGGTTGAAAGTTGTGCAAGCTAGTGCAACATTCTATTGCGCAAAAATCCTTATCATTGCACTCAGTTTTCTGATGATAGTTTCCCTCACAGTGTGCCCCTTATTCCCTCACCCATCACTATTCAATAAAGACAACATTTCTCTACAGACAGAAAGTTAATTTGGAGAAAACAACATGTCGGTCTATTCAGTCCAAAGGAAATCTGTAAATCATTAGTTCGATGCTCTGGTAGGTTTTCCTGGTAGTGCAGCTCTCTCCTAGTAAATCCAAGAAATAGATTTGTTTTACTGTGCCTTTCCAAGTAAAATGTATTGCAAAGCAATAAAGCTGTTTAAGAACTGTAGTGACAAATAGATAGAGGTTGTGAGGTTGCTGTTACTATAGCAGGATTCCTCATTCTTTTCTCTGTAGAGTGAGTGGTTAACTGTTCTCTTGTTTTGTTTATGTGTTTTGTTTTGTTTTACCAGTAGCTTCTAGAGACCAAAGGTAGCAGAAGTCTCAAACATTTGATGTTGATATTGATCATAGTATCAAAAAAATTTTTAGGCTGAACTGTGGGACTTTTTTCTCCATTTATCTCAGATCTCACTTTTTGTTTGGGGAGGGGGTGCTTTGGTTATTATTTGAATTGTTTAGCTGTAGGAACTGAACTTGCACTTCAGGTACAAGATTCTCTCTAAAGGATCACCCTTGCCTGTCAGATTTGATTTCAGCGTTTCCTTGCCTGAAGTACAGAGAAGAACGCTAGATGTAGCAGTGAAGAACAGTGGTGGTTTCTTGTCCAAAGATAAAGGGCTGCTTGGCAAAGTAAGTGACAAGCATGTTATTATATAAGACTAAAATCCTCATGTGATATGAGTTTGTTAGTGTTGACTGAAGCACCTGATTCAGGTATGAAGCTTTTAAAAGAACTATACATGGCTTAGATATCAAGCTCCAGTAAGGGAAGGAACAAACTGCAGAGACAGACGTAAAGAGACGAGGCAGTTAATCTCTGCTAGAGAATGGTAAGTTCTGAGGCTCACAATAACAAAAGAAACTTGCATGTCAGGCTTATTAATCATACAGTCAGAGAAAGAAAATAACCAGTAGAGAACAGATGGTATCTCAGAAAATGTTTAGACGAAACTGGAAAGACAAGCAAAAGTACTTAGAGAAATGCACAGAACAAATGTATGTTTAGTAATTAAAATTCCAGGTTGTGAAATCCATAAGAGAGAACTGCTACTGGAGATGTTCCCAATGGCAAAACCAGCTTTTGTGTTTACAACTTTACTGTTCTGCATCACTCATTAAATCACTCTTATTTCCTACACGTCATTTGGAGCATGTAAAAAGGAACAGTAAATTCTACACCCTTGCAAGTGGCTGTATTTGAGCTCTGTAAAAAGCACGAGAGAGATCAGAATCACGATCAGTTCATGGTGAATCATGTTGTTCTTAAGTTTCGTGTTCTACTAGGAAGGCTATGAGCATAAATACATCAGCTGATTGCCACTGCCAAGAAATGCCATGTTCAGAATTTAAGCCTGTGAGGTGCTTTGGGACCATATCACTAAAAGGTATAGATGTCCATAATATTTGAGAAGTCATGGCAGTCAGGTGAAGTTCCAGACGACTGGAAGAAGGGGAAATATAAACCCCATTTTCAAGAAGGGGAAGGTGGAAGACCCAGGAAACTACAGACCAGTCAGTCTCACCTCTGTGCCCGGCAAAATCTTGGAGCAGATTCTCCTGGAAAGAATGCTGAGGCACATGAAAAACAACGAGGTGGTTGGTGACAGCCAGCATGGTTTCACTAAGGGGAAATCCTGCCTGG